TCTCTCTCTCTCTCTCCCTCCCTCTCTCTCTCTCTCTCTGTCTCACGCTCTGGACCCTTTTCTGATCTCATCCGGCAGGAGCGTGTCCCGGAGGCTGACTTTCACGCCCTGCTCTGTTGTCACGGTGACGCAATTCACACAGGAAGAGATACTCACACTCATCGAGGGAGCGACGGATGTCGGAGATGGCGCTGTCGGGGACCTTGAGCTGCAGGGTGCGGGACTCGAGGAAGCGGGCCACCCTGTCGACGAGGAGGGTCTCGACCTGGGAGTCGCGCTCGGCGGCGTCCTGGGGCAGAGAGTTGTCGAGCTCGTCCTCGCTGAGGGCGCGTCCGGACAGTTCCCGGGCGGCCTCTCCGCTCTGCACCAGGGCGACGCCGTCAGCCAGGGGGATGTCGCCGGCCTTGCGGACCTGAACAGAGAAAACAACAGGGTCAATAACTCCACCAACAACAGAAAGACGCCGTGATTCTCAACTTTGCCCCGGCGTACGTAACCAGCCGTGCGGCGCCGTGCGGTTACGCCAGACGATCGGCGCGGCAAAACCTTTCGGCACGAGAGTCAGTCCATTCAGCCGTTCGTCTCGAAAAGCCCGTTTACCGCCTCGCCTCGCGCCACTCCGCGCCGCCGCCGTGATCCTGACCTTCCCCGCCGCCGCCGCCACGGCCAAGTTCAATTCTGATCGCGTGCGCACCACATTTACATCACCGGGCGCTGCTCCACCCGTGCGTCTGTCCCCAGCGCGTCCTGCACGGGGGGGGGGGGGGGGGACGAGGAGGAGGCGAGAGCGACGGCGGCGGTGGACCTCATCGTCTAACGGGACAGTTAATCTCACGGAGAGTAGGGCGGTGGCATTCCTAGACCAAACCTATCAAACAGCGACCCGCGCACCGGCCCAAAGGGGCGAGGTGCGTCCAGGCAGCCGGCCAGGCAGCCAGGCAGGCACGCCAATCATGACTGGGTCAGCGGAACTGGACGGGCAGCCCGCTGCCGTGCTCCACATGCATGGAGAAGCAGGAGCAACGAGACCGCGAACGGGAGAGAGAGGAGGGAGAAGCTATCCTGTCGGCAGGAAACGTGATCGCGGGAAAAAGAGAAAGACGGAGGAGAAGGGGGCAAAAAAAAAATGAAACAAAGATCTCATCGCGAGCGGCTATCGAGAGCCGGCAGGCGCGGCGGGGGGTCAATTTGGAACAGCCGGGATGAGATGACAGGCGATAGGATGCTGGGGCAAGAAACTAAACGGTTCGAAGCGGCGGCGCGAGTCGTGATGGAGATGCTGGGAGATGGGGCCGGCGGCGGCTGCTGCCAGGGCGGCTGCCAGGGCACAGACTTCTGGCTTGGGCACTTTGAACACGCACGGCACAGTAATATCCAGAGGGTCGAAGGCGGCGGCGGCGGTGGGCAGGTAATCCATTTTTGGTCCACTTGATCACTTTTCTGGTCACTTTTCGGCGTCACAACTTTCGGCGTCACACTTTCAGTCACTTTCTGCTCCGGTCGGTACTTACCGCGCGGTCGACGAAGGTGAGGGCGCGCATCTTCATGCAGAAGAACATGTCCTTGTCGCCGCACTCCTGGAGGAAGCGGTAGACCTTTTCGACGCCATCCTCGATGAGGGATCCGTTGTCCTGGGGCTTGGCGGGGTTGGGCTCCTCGGCGGGAGCGGCGAGGGCCACCGCCACGAGGGCTGCCAGGAGTAATAGTGACTTGTTCACCATCTTGCTCTCACTCACACTCACGCACACACACACACTCTCTCTCTCTCCCGGACGACGGACCACTGTGTTCTCGGGTCAACGAGTGACTGTGATTACCAAAGTGCCGGCCGTGTCTTTTATCGTATTCTGGGCCCCGGAGGAGGGGTGGGGCCGCTGGGCCGGCCGGGCCCGAGCACGCCGGGCGGAGCCGGGCCGGCCAGGACCCGGCCGGGGGCAGG